TTTATAACGATCTCTGACGGTGGTAACTCTGAGAGAGAATGGACAACCAAAATCAGCAGCTAAAATCCGGAAACAACAGTTTAACGTGGAGGAAATAGACGAAGATTTACGGAAAAGAGTAATTGCGACACTTTACGCGAACACAGTCAAAACTACTCCAAATGAAGACGAAACAACATGTTTTGCGCGTGCAAAAACTCTTGAAGATACTATATATAAGATTACTTAGAGTAAAGCGGAGTATCAGTGTCTTTTAGTAAATAAATTATTGGAGATGAATCCTCAGCAGCAACAATAAAATGCTGTTGCTCAACAACAACGACTACAGCGTAATGATTTGTTGCAAAATTTAACTCCGCAACAACAGCAGCAACTAGTTATGCAATTCCATCAACAAGCGCATTTTTTATTAGGTCAATCCTTTCTAATAACAAAACTGTTTGGATTTGAAATTTTCATTATTTAAAATATTCACGTAGATCATTTAATTGTTATTAGCTATTAAAATGAGCATATGAACCAGATACCGATACATATAATCGATATTAGAGGTACTATAATTTTTTTTCGTAAAATTTTTCACTTTTCGTCTCTTTCGCTAGGTAGATCAATGTGGCTTCGATAAAGGGCTTTGACTGTAATATAAATTTAAGCGCACGAAGAGATTCTTTGACAAAGATTTTACCATCCAAATTTCACTACATGATGAAATTAGTAACTAAATAGATTTCCAAAAATCCATTTATATTACGATAAATTGTCATTTTTCATAAGAATATAAATAAGAAAATGAAACGAGGGTAATCATTCAACCGATTTTTTGTAGTATATATAAAATGCTCTTTTATTCCTTTTTATACCGATATCTTTATATTTAAAAAAGTTCATAGAAATAGGTTGGTAAACACGTATAAATATCTTCATACAAGAATTATGAATACAAATATTTGACGAAACATTAGGAATGTGTCAGAATGGAGATGTGCCAAATGTTCAGATTATAATGAAGAAACGTATAACTCAAAATGATAGCCGAGATTTGTATTCCTATATATTGTGTGTAACTTCTTGCTGCCGATGATCTTTTCGTAATGTGTAAACAAAAGCATCATTTTGACCCTTTCTCTTATTTATTTCGATTGAATCCAAATGTCACAGTTTCAATTCCCAACGGGATATCAACAGCAACAGTGGTCTAATAATCAACAGTGGGAATATCAACAGCACCAGCACCAGCAACAGTTACAACAACAGCAACAACAGCAACAGCAATTACATCTGCAACAGCAGCAGCAGCAACAGCAACAGCATTACAAACATCACCAGGCACCAAATAATAATACTACTGTTATTACTAATAATTATATTCCATCAACGTCTTTATTGTCGTCTCATTCAAATTACATATACCCGCCACATTATGACTTCCAACAACAACAACAACGACAATTACCACAAACACATTTGGGCTAT